AACAGCTGCTGGGATGGTCGAAGGGCTTGAAGATGCCGAATCAATGACCACTGGATTTTCCGGGGAATTCGATACCGAAAAGGCAGGTTCCAATTTCCAAGCTGCATCGCTAAATTTCGTTAAACAAACATAAGAGTACTGTAAGTCAGAGGTAAGATTTCGACGACCAGAGAGAACCTGCCAAACCCTAAGCACGTTAGTTGTCGTCTGAAGCAGACAACTGTTCGAATCTTCTCCTTCATATGCATTCGGCCAAAGTAGAACGCATTCACCTACTTCCTTCATGCAAACCGGTTAGTGATTTGCTTATTTGTACTCTACTCTCAAAGTGCAATAAGCGCTATTCATAGTATAAATTCCCAGCAGTTCAGGAAAATTTTTCTTTGATACATATTCTTCGAATCCCTGAAAGACCCTCAAGGACTCATTATAGGCTCATATAGCTGAGCATCGAAAAAGCCAGAAATTGTGCGAAAATATGGCATTTCGCCATCTTAATCGATGTTATGCAGGCCTCTTGCGGTCTTGACAGATTGCTGCGATGGCCTGTGTCGTGACGGTGTTTGGAAGGGGTGTACGATAAAAGTGACCAAATTCGAAAAAAAGGCATGGTCACAATGGGAGTAGGCTTAAATCTTCATATTGGACCGAGTTATCGTCGGGCGGAGTGGGGGGGAGGACGGGATAGGAAACTGGCATCTGGGTTAACATCCAACAAAATATTTGGGAAAAAAGACAACTCGATCGCTGGGACAATACTTTTATTCGCCTGACGCTCCGCGATCCGTCGCGGATTCATCATCAGAGACATAGTCAGAGTAGTAGCGGGTAGGACGAATAAAAGTATTCTACCAGCAATCGAGTCGTCTTCTCAATTAATTCCTGGGACTCGCATGTTCGCTTGAAAGACTTGGGACTTGAAAAGAAGGCGATGAAAGGGGCAGTTGGCGACAGTGTGCGTGCAGTCACATTTTGCGGATACCTGGCAAATGCCGCCGTCTATTCTAGCCAATCATGGAGCCAAATACGCGTAATAAGCAGGCAGTAAATGCGATATTTGACTGAATTTAGATTGGCTTGAAAGGTCTAATCAGCAAACATGTGTTTGGCAATTCATCATCGGGCCTATGCAATTACATTAATACGGAGAATAGGGGAGTTGGACAGAGTTTGTAAACGTCCTATAATTAAAACTCATCGTTCTCACCGCCTGGATGGCGTAGTTTGCGTGCAGAGGTGACTGGACTGAGTGAAAATAAGGTAGCATGTGAGAAGTGGTCATGAGTCGAGTACGTGGAATGAAAATCAGTCATTTGCACGGAATAGACAACTGTCACCAGGGGGTGTGGCGACATTCGATCGCTACCTGGCGTCGGCCACGGAAGATTTAACGCTTGTACTAGCGTCTTCTGACGTCACAACACTGGATTCGTTACCTGTATAGACACTGTTGCTAGCACCCATTGGCATAGGCCCTCAGGGAAGTTAGCTGGTAGACAATCTGAAGGGCTCGACTCGGTTATTCTTGTCAGGCTGCATAAGTGGCACATGTATGCTGCATATTTTCTTTAAATGCGTAGAAAACAATGTCAAAATTACACTTAACAGGTTGTCAGTATTCTGTAAGTGCAGGAGATACATGCAGGGAAATGTCAAAACACTATCGGGGACAAAATACTTGCTAATCAGTAAGTTTCAAGTTTTCAAAATTGTTTTCTATCAGCAAGCAGTTTTTGGACAGTGCTTTTTAAGTTATGTGACCTGCGGCAATTTTTCAATGAGAAGGTAGTAGAACCAATGTGCTACTTACCGCCAACTGATTCGGCTATTTCGGCTATACAAAACACGGAAGGTGTACTTGGAGAGCATAAAACTGTTTCGAAGGTAACCAGTACCAGAAACTGACATACAATTCTTATTACTTGATGTAAAGTAGGCTGAAATGGAGGTCTACTTAAGACCTCTATTGTCAGGGAATTTCGGTAAGCTTGGGGCTTGCTTATACACTTGCCTTTGACTGCCACTTCCACGCGCCGTGAGGACACTTGTGTTGCGCTTACGTCGCTGGGGTTTCGCGGACGGAGTGGGAGACAGAGAAAAGGGGTACTTCAGGACTGAGAGTATGCTGGGCGAGCCCGAGAGTGCAGCTTCTGA